TTCAATTTTTTCAGCAAGACGGTTTTCACGTTTGGTTTTCTCAGCAATGATTCGTCTTATACTCAATTCATAAGAATGCCGCAATGCGGATAATTTCACTATACTGTTTTAAAATCAAAATATGCATAAAAGAATCTTGAAAAATCTATATAGATGAATCATTACGAGGCCAAAGTGTGCAGTTTGTGCATTGTAAGCGGATTCCACAACAAGGACGTTCCCTTTGTTCTTTCCTTTGTTCTTTCATTTTCTTTGATCGTTCCGACAAAATTTTCACATGTTTAAAGACTTGTCTCTGGAATCCAGGAACATACAGACAGAAAAATGTGCGCCTATCCAGTGCACAGTTTGGCCTCGTAATGATATATTTTTGCTTGACAGACAAAAAAATCGTTCTAACTATAAAAACACAAAATATTTAATTAAAAATGAAATTCGAACAATTTCGGAGGTTTTACCTTTTTGAAAAGATTTTGGGCTATTCCAGAAGCTTTTTTATTGTTTCTAGTTTCGATACGAAAGTAACGGAATATTTCTGCTCGGGGTGGGTTTTTTTCTTCAGACAAACTTCGGCTTTTTAACTATTCCTTTTTGACGGAATTGTTTTTTACATGATTCGAAAAGTATTTTTGTCTTGGGCTCAAATTTGAAAAGATATTTCAGCGTGAGAACTGTTTTCGTAAAGTTACGGGGGTATAAAAATTGCCATTTTGACCAACTTGGGACAATTAACGCGCGATAAATTTCGCGCTATTAACGCGTATGCCGAGAGTTAATCTGTCTTAATAATAGTTCTAGATTGATTGAAAGAAGCTTACTTGCCACAATTTATTTCTTAAAAGGAGCAAAATTTATCCTTCTGTATTTTAAATGGCGTGTAGGCAGATGATTTTCTCAAATTGTAGAGAAAAAAAATTCATTTTGTTTTTCTTCATTTTTTTTTAAATGTTATTACTGCTCCATAAACCTTAAAAGGCAGTCGGGACATTCAGTCTTGTTTAAATTTCTAATCAATTAGTTTGGTAGTTTCAGCTTAATTCTTGATAAACTAAGAAAACGCAAAACGATCCATTTTTGGTGTAAAATGTTGGTTCCGAGCTTATGTAAAACAAATTGCATAGAAAAATTTCAGGTCAAATTCTGATAAACTTTTGTTTTCTGCTTTTCTATGTCTTTTGTTAGGCCAAGTTGAGAAAAACGCATTTGAAGCTTGCAAAATTGTTCGTTTTTGTCCGGTTAATTTCAAGCAGCGCTTTACTTATCAATGCTTAAAAGCTCTACGTTGGTTGTCTGATCAACAAAAAATCATTAAAAAAATTATCGCATAGTTCTAGAAACAACCCGGAATGGGATCACAGTGCAGAATGTTGATAAACAAATAATGGATCAGTTATGAAACAATATTGTCACAGTCTCTCGAAAGTGCCAATTTTACTAGCTGCAGAGATGAAAACAAAAAAGAATAATGCAAAACTTTTATTTTTTGAGAACAACTACCGTTTTAACACTGAGATGGCTCTGTTAAAAAAACAGAGATGGGAAAAACGAATTGTGTTTCTTTGATTCAGTACTGGCACATATAAATATTAGGGGGCCTAGGAAATTTGACGATAAGCAAATTAGACGGATGCTACAAAAACGAAATTAGACGAAACTTACATTTTACAGATTTGGCATTTTCGACAAAAAAGCTATGAAAAAAAGGCCATCAAAATTATTTCCTAAGAGTCAAGTTTCACAAAAAAAAAGAAAATAAAATGTCAATTCCTATCAAAGCAATTAGTTTAAATGAACATAAAATGTCAAGTCTGAATATAACAGGAGAAATTCGAATTGAATAAAATATGCATGATTGACTTGTACAATTTTTGGCCAACAAAATTTAACTGTTGTTGGCAAAAAAACTTTATTTTTCTCACACAATTTGTCTGCAAACAACTTTAATCTTTCTCTCACTTTCGTCTATTTCATCACAATTGCAGTTTTGCAAAATCGGTTAACTTCCTTTCATGTGCATCCGTCCAATTCGCTTGTCGTCTAATTTCTCAACCCCCCTGTTTTAGATGCACGCCGAGATTTGAGCCCTTAGTGCTCTCTAGCGGTGTTAGTAACCTCTGTACTGTTTCGCCTTAATTTTTTAGTGACATTCTAGAATATAAAGCAGACCTCAGACAAGCGTACAACTACAACACAAGTTATACCTGAAAGTTCAATTTTTAATGACCTTGCTCGTGAACATCAAAGCTCCAGTGCGACAAAAATTCTGGTTTTTAATTTAAAACTAATACTAGTCGACCCGGGTTGACAAGAAATGCTTATCATACTATTTCATATTATGAAAAAAAGCTTATCATACTATTTCATAGACCAAAAAAACACAATGAAAATATCATGATAAGAAATTTTTCCATACTATAAAATATTATGACAGTTATTTTTTCCATACGATGAAATTGTATGATAAGCATTCTTTTGACCAAAATTAAAATCAAGTTGTTTTTGAGAATCAAAATGCATTCTTTCAATACAATTTTTTTAAAAGTCATGTAAATTTAAACAGAAACATCGTTAAATTAACTTTTTTTCAATAGCAAAAGGCTTATCATACAACTTTCATATATGAAAATATTATGACAAGCATTTTTTGACCAAATTTATAATCAAGTTTTTTTTAACAGAAAGATTCAAAAGATGGAAATAGAACATAAGTATTTCTCAAAAACCGTTTAAAACAGTTTTTAAATTTTGTATGAAAATTGTATGACAAGCATTTTTTCCATAGTCGCCATAGATGAAATGGTATGACAAGCATTTTTCTTTCATGGACGTCAACCCGGGGTATTGTGTTTGTTTGATTTAACTTACAGCTCTGCAACTTTTAATGATGTTGTTTACATTTACTGGAACAGTACCGATTAGCTCTGCGACTTCAATCAGGGAATGAGAATTTTTGACTTAGAAAAAACTAACAGAATCAACTCAAAGTTTCATCAGATCTGAATTTATCTACTATAATAAGAGTGCTTTATGCCGGTGTACTGAATTTTTAAGAAAACTATATGAAGAGCAAACTTGAACGCATAGTCGACGTTTTGAACAAAGCATAGAAAATTTTTTTCTACAATGAAATATTACATTTAATTACAATAAAATTTCATCACAAAATACAAAAACGGAATTAGAAAAACTAACAAATTTTGGCAGTCTTTAACTGTTGCCAAGTTGATCAAGAAAAGCTATCTTGCAAGATCTTGCAAGAGTCTTGCAATTTTCTTAAGAAGACGATACCTTTTTTTAAAAGGTTATGCTAGGTAATTCTGAGAAGACTATTATTCTAGTAATCTCTTTTGATATCTTTCAAATTTTTTGTTTTAGCAAGACCTAAAAAAAATTTCTTAAAAAAATAGATCTTTGCGCTAGACATTTCATAGTATTTTCGTTAGATAAAAGTAATGCAGTTAACAAGTTGTGAGATTCAAATAAAACCAGAAACAAGCAAACGGAAAAAATGGGTAAAGACCAGGGTAAACATGGTTTTTAATCGTGCCTATGTTAAACATCTCAAGCTATATGACTATTTTTATAATTAATAAGTGAAAAAACATGGCAAAATCATTTTCATCGGTCAGAGTTGCAAAACTAGAAAAACTTTCCAATAAATTTGAAAGATGAGTATTTTTGAAAGTTGTCATTGAGACATTGTCAATCTTTGAGACAATTGTCAAATATAATCTTCATGGTGTTTTTGTGGTGGTCAGAATAACTTCAATGAAAAAATTTCGAAGACGATTTTATTGCAAGATCCTGAATTCCTCAAAATCTGGATTTCCTCAATCTTTCGAGATTTTTCCACGATAGCCTCAATACTGCAAAACCATCCCAGATAGACTTCACTTGCAAAATAAACCTCCTTAATCAAAAAAAATTTCTAGTAAGTTAATAACTTTTTCTTTTCTGTTCCTTCCAGGGGCGGATTTAGGGGGGGGGGGGGGGCGGGGGGGCGGACGCCCCCCCCCCCCCCCTCAGGGATTCGACCCCCTGCCGACCCAAAGGGTCCCCCCTTTGATACTTTTTCAGAAATCCATTTTTGGCCGACCGACCCTAAAATTTTTTTAAAGGCGCCTTTGGCGCCAATATATACTAACTTTGAGGGGGAGCGCGCGCCAAAAAAAAACGCTATTTTTTTGTCAAAATTTTTCAAAAAGTGCCCAAAAACGGCTTTTTTGACTGTTTTTTTAAAAATTTGCCTGCGGCGCAGAAAATTTTGCCAAAATAGGGGCAAAAGAGTGCTTTGGGAGACCTCGAAAAATCAATTTGGTCGACCTAAAAAAAAAAAAAGTCGTCAAAATTTTGGAAAATTTTTTGAAAATCCGCCCCCCCCTCGAGAAAATCCTAGATCCGCCCCTGGTTCCTTCATTTTGAATACATCAGAGTTTTCAAGTGAATGTTGTACCAGTTTCAGCCAGCTGTTTTCATCATTCTATCAATATTTTTCTTCAGTTTTGATTTATCGTTTTCACAAAAGGGTTCTATCTTTAAAAAGTTTTAATTCCAAAAAAAAGCAATGCAATTTTTCTGCTCGAATGTATTTTCACCAAAATGTCGATTCAGCATGTTGCAAAAATTTACTCAATCTCAAATATCTGCAGATTCATTGATTATGCCTCGGCGTTTCGAAAATGTTGAAAATTTTTTCCTGGTAAGTTTATCTGGATCTACTTAACAATTACCCCTCCCCCTTTTAATAAATGGGGTGGGCAATTGTTAAGTTGATTAAAATGACGCATTTTCGACCAATCAGAATGCAGCAAAATTCTAATTCTCAATGGAAAGCTTAGTGCTAATTTACTGCTTTTATTAAAAGGGGTGGCAATTCTTAAGTAGATACCAAAGGGGGGGGGCATTCTTAAGTAGATCCGTTTATCTAAAGTTTAATTCTGTTATTAACTTTGATGTCTGTATTTACAAACACTACAATATTTACAGTAAATTCAATTGATTTATCGTTTCAGTACCACATCCGACATCTGCAGTGGTGCTGAATGATTACTTTTACTCATTTCCATGACTAGTGTCTCCAACATACTTTCAATCTTGTGACACTTCTCATTAACTTCTGAGAGAGTTTGTTCCATTTCAGCTGAAAAAAAAGTAATGACAAGAAATGCTGAGAGTTTTAAAATAAAAATGAATTGTAATTCTGACAGGTATTGGCCCGATAAAACTACTAATTAGATGAAAAATTGCAAAATTTCAATGTTCGCGAAACTCTTCATAACTAATTGATTTTTTTCCTCCGTATTTCTTTTTAAATTTTTTTTCTCTAAAATTTTGATAAATTTCAAGACTGAGGCTTGTTTGGCTGGTTCAAATTTTGGTCTTTTTTGCATGATTCACTTTCACAAAATTACTGATTGCAAACGTTTATCCAAAAACATTTGAGACTAATTGAGAATGAGGCAATATATTAGTGCAACAAGGCCGAAAAATAAAATTTTGTTCAACACTGCAGAAAATCATCGATTCACGGCACTGTTGAAAACCTTTTTAGTATCGGCACCTTTGTAGCTTTGAACTACCGCAGCAACAAGGTCAATTACATAAAAGTTCTTCATTTGAGCGTTTTTTTTTTCTGAAGCCATGATCGCGAATTCACATATGAGAGCCTCAAAAATCAAACTCCTATGATTACTTCGGAAATATTTCTCATATATTCGAAGGAAACCCAGACGGATGAAATGTCTAAGGTATCGTAACATGTTTTTTATAGTATTTTTGATGAAAAAATGTTGCAAAAAAAACCCTACAATCAAAACAATTGCATGATATTAATTAATAGAAGTTACTAGCTACATTTCACAGAACGTCATTTAAAAAGAATAACGGTAAAAAAAATTAGTTCTTCCGGGGTTTCAACATACTTCAACATGCGAATTGCAATAAATTATGAATATCTTAAGCAATCACCATGAATATCTGTTTATTTCAAACACAACTTAGGCTTAAAGTTTTGTTAAGTTATCTCACCATCCTAATTAAGGAGAACTGGATCAATGGGCAATTTTTTTTTGTTCTGCTTGGGAATAAAAATATTAAGGTCTTTTCAGAAAGCTAGAAGTCATTCACGTTATTTTTAGTGTCTTTATCACTTTTTCTTATCAGTAATGTAGTTTACTTCATTCAAAAAAATAAACTGAATTTTCCCTAAAATCATAAATCAAACCGCAAAAATCAAATTTAAAAAATCCATACAGACCTAAATTATTGAAAATTACTTCGTTGTTTTATCAACTTCTAAACAGCGATAAGCCTTGGAATTACCACTAATTATCTTTGGAAGAGTGCCGAAAATCAGAGCTCTGGATTGACACGCTAACTCGGGGGCTTATCTCATGCGCGAAAGACCGAATGAGCGAAAAAACTTGGGAACGAAGGATCGAAAACAAAATCAGCCAAAAGTCAATTTTTAAAGAGAAGCAATTGCCAGGCTGGTCATAACCTGACGATGTTCATTAGAAAAAAAAACTGAAAAAACTGTATTTGTTTTTCATAAAATTTTTAGCTCGTCAAGGATCTACTGTTCATTGAAACAAAAAAAAATATTTTGATGGTTTGAAAGGTATCACTTTTCGAACCGAAACATCATCGTGTTTATACTCTTTGCTTTTTGAGACAAAGTTCAAAGATTTTCGGTCTTCCTGTTTTTACTTGAATCACGAGAAAACTTTTCATGCAGAAGGTTCAAGTCATCAAGACTTGCATATGGGACTAAGTGAAACGCAAACATAACAAAATAATTTTAATCAATTAAGTGCAAAAAGGACAGCAATGGTTTCCTTAGCTCAACTCTAAAACTATGAGTTCACATGCCTTAGTTCACATTTATATTTATTTACTTTTGTTTTCAAAATGAGAGAGTCGCTTAGCATAAAATATTGTATTGTTTTTTTAACTATTATTGTAATGATTACTGTACCTCCAAAAGGCCCTGTAACCAGCTTGAAGCGTCAAAAAGCGGTTATTTTTACATCCTAGAGCCAGTGAGCCATCTTCAAACATTTCTTCAATCATGTTCTTATTACATTCATTATTGAATGTGCCTATTGCTTTTTCTATGACGAAATACAATTAAAAAAGATTTCATATATGCTGCTAAAAGATGTGGGCTCATGTATGGTTTTGAAAAGAAATATAGTTTTTGATTCGTTTCTATTTGATTTTTAAACGTTTTATGCCCTCAGAATTTAAGCACCTTTGAAAAACTTTTTAATGGCGTTATCTTTTCTACTGCTGCAGGAGAGGAATCTCTATGAAAGTTAGTTTTTGAGATAGTGTTAAGTTCAGATTAACCGAAAACTGACATGATAAGATATCAGTTTTAACATAAATTTTAGACTCCATCTAAAGATATTTTAAGCTTTAACAAAATCTCCTAATCGGTTTTAAGCCTAATAATTATCGAAAATTGACTGCGTAGCCAACAGACAATTACAAAACACTCAATGATTTCAATTCAACCTTTGAATTTCGAAAAATACACGACTGCTTTTATCAGGGGACTTGGCTCAGAATGTTCCGACTGCCTTTTTAGGTCCTGGAGCAGTAATAACATGAAAAATTAAGTGTAATAAAAAATGAAAACTTTTTCGTTAATTTGAGATTTTTTCTGAGATTCATCCCCCACACGCCATATAAAAATCAAAGTGATAAAAATCGCTCCTAGTAACAACTCAATTATGGAATAAAACCTTGATTTAACCAATTTGGAACAATTTATAAGGCTGATTATATCTCCGCTTACGCGTTAATGGCGCGAAATATATCACGCGTTTTTTGTCCCTAATTGGCCAAAATGGCAATCGCTCAACCCCCATAACTTTCCAAAAAAATGATCACAGGTAAGCAACCTTTTCAAAATTTAGCTCAAGACAACTATAAGTTTTGAATGATACCAAATTTTTCAGTCAAAATTACTAGTTAATGAGTCGAAATTTGTCTACTGAAAAAAAACCCACTCGAGCACTATTATTTCGCTACTTTCATTAGGAAAATCGAAAAAAAATTTGGCCACAATTCTTGTCAAATATCAAGACGAACTTAAAATAAAACTAATTTTTGTTAGGAAAACTCGATCTCAAGGTGAAGTTTTGACTCAATTGGGGAACCTAAAAGCTAAAATCAACATTCGAAACTAGATGTCGCTCTTGTTTTTTTGCACAACTTCCGTGTTGGTATTTAGAAACGGTTTTGTGTATTCTTAAGTAAATTAATATGTACCCGCACCCAAATTTCAAGCGTTAATAGTCGGTTATATTTCGATTTTAGTACCAGACTTACTTAAATTGAGAAACATTCGATTTTAATCAATTAATAATCGATTATAATATCTCTTTTTAAAATCAAATTATAATTAATTATAATCCACTATAATCGATTATTTATTCTTCATTTTTCGATACAATTATAATCCATTATAATTGATTATAATCCATTATTTTGATTCAAATTTCTATTTCATTAGTTTTGCACAAAATCCATTATAATCGATTATAACTGATTATAATCCCTTTTGTTTGTCCATTTTTGTCTTCGAAGTTGCATTTAAATTGCTTATATTTTATGATTTTTGTGGACGTTGGTTAATATGAAAAATGAGAAAAATATTTTTAAAGTTTTCAAATTAATTCAAACTTATAAGTTTTTTTTTCATTTCTTCCTCATTAGAGTTGTTTTGTGATGCATATTTTAAGCTTTTTTTAAACACCAAAACATCAGGAAATTGATTTAGTTTCATGATTGATTCGTAAAATTTCTTTTTCATCTACCGCGAGAACCTTTCCACTCATATGAAAAGATCTCTATGAAACTTTTGTTTCGTGGTAAAACTTTGAGTTCAGATGAACCAAAGTGTTCATGAGATCTCTCTTTTAGAGATTTTCTTATGGACACGAAAATAATAACCCATTAGATATAATTCAAATATAGGAAAATTTCGGCAAAATAAGAGATAATAATCATCTATAATCGATTATAATTGATTTTACGGGTTTTTAGTTGGAACTATATTCAATTATAATCAATTATAATCGGTTATAGGAGATTATAATCTCTTGGAAAATATCACGATTATAGTCAAATATAAATCCATTGAAGACCTAATTTTGGTAATTAAAATCGATTATAATTGACTTTAAGGGTTTTTAGTAAGAACTATAATCAATTATAATCAATTATAATCGATTATAAGAACTTATAATCTCTTGGAAAATACCACGATTATAATCAATTATAAATCCCTTTAAAGACCCAATTTTGGTAATTATAATCGATTATAATTGTCAAAAAATCATCATAATAATCGGTTAAAATAGATTATTTACGCCAAAACTTGAATGCGGGTTCGAAATTTCATCTGTAAAAAGTAAAAACTTGTAAAATTTTCTCCTGTAATAAATGAATAATTAATCACGAAGACTTATATTGGTGTTTTGAAGAAGTTCAGTGACTCTTAATCGATTAGATTTTTGACAAAAAAAAAACAAAAATCGTTTGTAAACAATTATTTAGGACAAAACGCGGATGTGGTTAAGACTAGAACATATCAACGAAAAATTGGGAGATCAATCAGAGCTTTTTATGTAAAAATTTGTAGATCAATCAGAGCTTTTTAAATCACACCAGGTGCAATTAATAGTTTTTCTCAAGTTAAAAAATCGAATAAACATAATGACTGCTTTTTATAACTTAACCAAACTAGCTTTTCGAGCTTTGAAGAATTTATTCATTCTGCTGAGAGCGTTAACGCGAATTACTTATGTGTGGCGAATGATCCCGAACAACAAAAGAGTTCCTAATTGAACTGAAGCTAGCTAATTGATCGTATTAATTTTGTACGACTCAAAAATATACACTTTGATTTTGTCGAAAATTAACAGGTTTTCAATATTTTTCCCAAAAACGATTCGATATGAATTAAGGGACAGATGGAACATTCACGGTTTTGTCCTGATATACTATCAGTCTTGCTTGAAATTAAAATCTAATTGTTTGAATTTAAGATTTTATGGCCAAAAGAAATCTTTTCATTTGAAAGTATTGTGGGTTTTAAAACTTGGCTGAAAAAAATGTGTTTTTTAGTGAAGCCAATTTCGGCCTATTTTGATTTTCAGTCGTTGATTTATGGGTTATTGATTGTTTCTTGCATATTAGTAACTCCACCGTTGGTAAAATTTTACAGGTTTTACGTTTATGATTGATACTTTAAATTGGCTATAGAGCTATGGTTAAGTTTTGTAAAAAAATTCAACGATGGATCATAATTGTAATTCATATCTATGATCCATAGTTGGATTAAAAACTACTTTAAGATGACAGTGTTGCAAAAACTATGGATAGCAAAAACGGATAATCTTAAATTATTATGTTTTCCTTCTAGAAAATGAAGGCAAAAAAATTCAATTTAAAAAAAAAATTTGAAGTTATTTTAGGCTCATAGCTTGTTCATAAAATTTACAAATGTCATAGATTTAAAAAGATTCAGAAATATCAAAGAAAATGTCTAAAGACATGCATATATTGATCTTAACTTGAGAACAATTGAATTAAAAAGCAAACCTTTCATCGTTTTCATGGTTTTGTCAATAACTAGAGATCTGCTTTCTGTTTTTTTCACTCTTTCCTCGATGTTTGCTTGCAGTTGTGTCTCTGTTAAAGAGGCAAACTCTTTTGCTCTGAAATTAAGTCAGGTTTGAAAAGGTTTTAAGCGAAAAATTAACGTGAATATTGTAAATAACGTGAATTTGCGCAATGTAACCAATAATTTCGTTAAGATACAATTTGTGTTAGCTCTACAAACTGCAGCCTCTCAAAAATGGACTGCAGCATCTCAATTACTTATTTTACACGCAAAAATTTTAGCGGCGAAGTTTTCAGAAAAACCTAATTTTGACGCTGTCTAAAAAAAAAGCTATCAAATTTTTCCCTTGGTTTTTGTGTCTCAAGTTTCTGAGCGTTGAAATTACACCTACAAAAAATGTCAAGAAGCAAGGAACAAAACTGATTAATCGCTCATTCAAAGATCCGAAGCTTCGTCTGTTGACTTGGTGCTTTTGCATTAGCTTATAGAATAGCTGTAAATCTTTACCTTATATCCTCCCACTTTTCCAGTTTCTCTAAATCTTTTTCTTTCGGAGATTCAATGATGAGTCTCGACATGGTTCGGTTTTCCGTTTTTCACGCTCAATATTAGCGTACGTATATGGCTGAGAATTATAAACGGCGGTGGAAGCCATGGGCTGAAAAAATCAATTGTTTCATTTATCAGTTTATTTGTTTTTCACGAGAAGGTGATAGGATGATTTATTTTGTTGTAAATGTTCTATATTCATTCACCTAAAAGAGAAAAACTTTCTCCGAAAACAAATTCTTTTACAAAAGTGAAAAACAAATCAGTATAGACTGTTTATCATGTTTTTATCAGTTTCGACAAGATTGTAAAAATCTACTCTCCATTATATTAGAAAATCACTTTTCGCCGCCGAAAATGTTTTATACAGACAAAAAAGAAAACTTACCGATTGTAAAGTTCGTTCGTAACTAAAAACACCTGAAATTTCCAATAAACATTACTCTCTTTGTTTACATCGTCATATCTGTTGTTGAAAATTGCAATTAGTAGATTGAGAAGAAGAACATTGGTGAACAACATGAAAAGTGCTTTGAACACTACAGCCAAGACAGTGTTTTTTTCATTGGGACAGTCTTCAAAGGGCCATGGGGCTTCCGAACCTGAAAAAAAAAATTTCATGAATCGATTTTGATAAATTGGAAGGACCCTTTTTCTGGTTGCAAATTTCTAAAAAATATATACAGGCTGTTTATTTTTTATATGATTTTTTTTGAGTTATAGATTTTGTTATTCAAGCCATTGTATAAATATCTTACCTTTAGTGCAGTTCTCGATGTGTGAAGCGCCTATTTCTTCAAAGTTCGGATCTCCTAACATCTCGAAGAAGGATCGGAAAAAGACACCCCAAGGAATACTGAAAGTTGGCTGTGTAACACCAGGGTAAATTATTGATTGCACTGCTATTCCATACGCAACAAGGTACACTGTAATAATGAATCAGTTAGATATTTCATTTTGATATCAAAAAAATACGATTCATATTTAGCATCTAAAATTAAAATCATGAGAAAAGTTTTTTAGGGTTTCAATTCCAATGGCCTGGTAAAGTAACTAAAAAACTATAAATTGTTCTAATCAAAAATTGTTCAAAAATCTTAATTTTTAGTTGAAAATACTAGAACTTTTAAAATTTTTGTTAAAAAATCAGTTCTTACCGAGTGCAATGCAGAAGAAGAGGCCCACGTCATTAAGCATTTTAGAAATCATTACTATTTTGGGCCCTAAATAGATGTTCATTGAAAAAACACTGGTGAAGCGAATGAAGTAGAGAATCAGAGTCACCACATAGAACCCATGCGCAACATTGAGCAGATCTAAAGACGGTAAACTAGTAAAGTAGAAATACTTGCCTCAATCTTTAAGTTTTCTGGTTGGATTTTTTAAATTAGAATTGAAGATTTTTAAAAATGTTCTTATGGAATTTTTATCATAAACTTACAATTTCAAATAATCTTCGGCTTAACAATGGAATAATGTCAAATGTCTGTGTCATTTTTGAGCTGACAATTTCTTACCCCATCTATTGTTAGCGCGCATGACCAATCCGGAAGCAAACAAAATCAGTGCCAGAATATCGACAGCATTCCATCTATAATTAAAAAAGTAGATATGTTATCGAATTGAAGTCCATTGATATGTGTTTCTAAAATCACTCAGTTTTTACTCTCTGCCGACTTGCAACAGTTGCAAATCAATTTTATGAAGAAAGACACAAAAAAAAACTGAAAAGAAGTTGCCGTTTTTTGACAAACTTCAGCAATACTTTATTTCGATGATATGCAATTTGGCTTTTCTTTTTAAATGTTATAGGGTTTGAAAGTTGCCATTTCAGGAAATTTATAAAATTTACCGCGCGATACTTTTGATTTTATTGAAATGTCAGCAGAAAACTAAATAAACTGAGATAATCAATACGCTCCGAAGTGAATTGACACAATCAATTTGTGTTTTAAGAGCGTAACCAGACTCGAAATTTTTCATCTGGCACTACAAAGACGTGAGAGAAGTGCATAAAATAAAAAGAAATTGAAGAAGAAAAATCAAAATTTTTTATAATTTTTTATCAATTTTTAACAAAATTTTTTTTTATAATGAATAGTAGTCGGGAAAAGAAACATAACTGCAGCTTCTAATACAAGCAGTCTTGTTTCAAATTGTTGCTTTTTAGCATCCTACCTGATCAACAATGAAAGAGCTCATCTTTTTTGACTTTTTACTTTCACTGAATGACTAAATATATCTGAACTATTACTTATATCTTATCAAAAATTAATTGAAAAATTTACTATATTTACTAGAAAGCTGGAACTTTGGCAAGTGAATATTTGTTTTTTTTTGTTAAATTCTCTTGCAAAGGGACTTGCCTGTTCTCAAAGAAGACAGCCAGTCGCCTTTTGGTAGAGTTTTCTGATATGATAATGAATTGTCGGATTTCCTCGAGAGCTAATGTCAGCATCCAGAACATAACCACGTATTCTTCTACACGGGGGCTGTGCTTGAGACCTTGTTTAAAACACTTTGCAATTACCTTGTGTAGATTTACAATAGTTGTTTCAATTTAAGTAAATAGTTATGTCTCAGAAGGAAAAAAGAAAAGACGCTAGCAGTACAAAAACTTATTTGATGTCAATTGTTCTGTTAAAATTTTTTTTCCTACTAGATGCTCAAATTGATTTCTCGAAAAATAACAATTGAGAACAGCTTGTTTCAAGAAAACGTAACAATTAAAAAGTCATTGAAAAAACACCTTATCACAATTTGAAACTTGCTTTGTCTTATTAAGAGACATGTTAACTTGATTGAGTGAAGATCTTCAATCCTATGATAAAAAATTCAGTCGGTTGTAACAAGCCAAACAATTCAAAGAAATTTAGGACAATAAAAAAATGATAATGATTACCTTCTAAGGTGACGATGCTGAACAATATCAAAAACAGCAGTGTTGCGATGACGTTCAGAGTGAAAGTTATCACAGGCGCAGTGTAGAAGAATTTAAGTTTTTTGGCAAGGGAAAAGCTTTTTTCCTCTTGATTTGCGACTTGTTTTTTTTCTGCTTCATCAGGGACAGTTCCTTTGAAGCTCAGAAAAGGGACAAAAAATGGAACTAGAGACGCTCCTATAATTTTCCACAAAGAATTGCGATCTCTTAACTTTCCCAGCCACACCTCTTGAATTAAAGTCTGACAACTGCTCTGCGCAATGAAATCCTTGTAATCAGCTTGAGTTGCTAGTTCGAGGCAAGATTTAGAGCCCCACGGCTGATGCTTGAGCTGTAATATTTGTTGGCTCAGTTCAGCGCTTTCACCATAACAAATATTTAAAATTCCTGTAGCTTTGAATTTGTAATTTTCAAGCAATTTTACTACTCGACTTTGCAAGTTTGAGTCGTCTCGAATTTCCCGAGATTTCAAAATTGTCTTAGAAATAAGAACTGCAAAAATTGCTGCAGAAGTTTTGCATGTCATGTCTTCCCAGAAGTATTCGCTCGCTTCAGGTCGAACAAACAGAAGTGAGTAAACGAACAATTCTCTTTCCGGGCGCAGGAAAAATTGAGAGTCTCTTTTTGCTGGCTCTGCGCATTCTGTGACTTTCTCTGCAAGGCCAATTGGACTTTTTTTGATTGCTGAACTTTTTTCTGGACTTTTTTCGGTTGCTTGAACGTTTTTTGAGTCATCGAAGTGCACTGGATTGTAATAGATATTGAAAATGTCGGAAAACTTTTTTGTGAGACTTTCCGATCCAATTTTTCCTCCTTCTTTTGGTTTCAAAAACTTCTGAAGGAACTTTTCGATGGAGTTTTCCTTTTGAGTTTTCAGAGTGTCACTGTATAGCTCTTCAAGTTTTTTTTTGGTCAAGAAATCTCGCAAATCTGTAATTTCGGTGAACATTTTGACAAACTCTTGTTTGTTCTCGATTAAAGCTATGGTTAAAAACTTTTCAATATCTTCATTTCCCACGTTGTTTTTCGTCATAATATCCGCTGCCATATCGTGTCGGTTCCAAAGGAGAGAGAAATAAAGCTGCTTGGATCCAGCCTTCCCATCATCCAGCCCTCCCATTTCGAGAAGTGTTTGAAGAACAGCTTTGTCTAGGTCACCTAAAATTTAAAAAAAAGAAATATTACTTGTTACTCACTGGTTTTCAACAAAAAAAATGAAAAACTCCTCTCATCGCATGTTCAATAGGCAAAAAGTGTCAAAAAAGACTTTATATGCAGAGCTTCAAAATATTTTCAAGCTCTGTTATTTCAGTTTCCGGGCCTATTTAATCACTATTAGGACTCAATTTTGCACAAACAAAAACAATTAAACCACATGCAAATTTCTAAAAAACAAAAAAATGAGGACTTATTAAAGGATTTGATCAGAAAACTTGATTTTCCATGGACCCAGTGTCTTTTTACAAACCGTTTGTTTTTTAACCATGAAGCTTTGTGTGAAGATATGGGAGTTAAATATTTGTGAATTTGGGCAATTGGAGGCATTTGAAGCACAACATTTCTATAAGACTCTTTATCCACGAGGGAAAGGACCAACATACGAGCTGTACAGCTCATTACGGCGAACCGCGGTTGTATTATTGCTTAAAAATTACGTGCAATTTTTCTTTGTTCCTTTTTCTGAGCTGAGTAGTGTTGCTTCAACTTCACGCAACGAGCAGAAATCATGGTGGGCCTAGAGCATCCGATTTTTTGACTGAGAGACGGAGACTTAACCACTTACACTATTTTACACGTCTATTTTACACACCATAAATTTGTTGCACTTTGAACTGAGGCACACTTGCAGCTCTTTATTTTAACACTATCAGGCGCAGATTATAGCCTTTTGCATTTTACATAGCAGTTTTGGAAAAAAAATTAAATAAAGTGGAAAAAACCAAACTCATCAAAAAAATCTCTAACTCGTTTAATTTTTAACCAGACTTTTTATCATAAAAAAAGAAGAGTCGGATCATTCAGGTCTCTGCTCTGATACGAGCAGTTCCTATTCTATATTTTCAATGTTAGCTTTTAAACAACAAACACATTTAACCGTTTTATGTGTTAGTTTGTATATTTGCTAGATCTTTTGCGCTTTTGTATTTCATTTTCTTTAAAACATTTGTTAGCATAACATTAGAATTAGTTTTCAAACGCCGTCATGAGCAAAAATTTATTTTCGAAAATAATGAAAACAAAAACAACAAAAGAAGTATGTTTTTCTGAACATGGTGCAATTTAAACTAACTTCAATCTAAATCCCTTCTCGATTTTGTTGATCACATCAAAATCACATCAATACAACTGAAAAAAAAACATACCAGGAGATTCGCCATCTTCTTCGTCAAACTCAAACACTCGGATTTTTTCTTTCATTTCCAAACAACTGATCAGGCCATCGACAATTTTTTTCACAGTTTTCTTGTCTGAAGCCTGCATTTTCAAAATAGTTTTGGCTTTTTCTTTCAAAGTTTTTCTAAGTTCCTGCTCATTCTTGATTTTATCTTTCGTTTCAATCGCAAAAGCCAGCAAATCAGCACATCTTCCGGTTCCTTTGATCACGACGCAAGGCGTGTTGTTTTTCAGCGCATTCCAGACTGTGTCGATGGTTCCGAGCCCTCCTTCGACCATTACACATACAATAGGAACCTTCGTTGCCTCATCTGCAAAAAATCATTTTCATCTTTATTATAGCAATAATCAGAGAATTAGAAGGACAAATTGATTGATCAGAAATGGTCATATTTTTTTATATCTGTCTGCGTAAAAAATGTTCTCCCGTTATTGATCTAAGAAAATCTCTTTTTTTGCGCTCCTGAAATTGTAATAATTAATATTTTAATTCTTACAGTAACTTCAGTATTATGTTGATTGATTGATTGATTGACAACGCAAAAAAAAATCAAGTTGGAAATGAACCTCTTTTTTCTTGTTCAAGTGGATTCTGCGTTTCTACTCCATTGGAGCATACTTTCTTCTCAAATAAGCCTCTTAGCTCCTGCTCTTTTCCATATTCATGGCCTCCATCGTCTACCAGAATGAAGTGAGTGTGATTGGGGTCAAGTCCCACCTCCTGAAGTATACTTTTTATGAATAAATTTAGAGCGCAGAAAACAGCTCAAGTAGAAGCTAACCGGAAATGCGCTATGAATGAAACTTGTCAAGACTTTCATAACCTTAACATGATTGTTGTAACGTAACTTGTTATACAACAACTGAAAATTTTTTACTGGTAGAATTTTAAAACTTAAGCTGGTTTGTATACCATTAAAAATCTCGGGAAACACAAGGAAATATGCTAGTCATACAATTTCACAAATGGAGCCAAGGAAAAACGGTAGTCATACAAAACTTTTGAACAACAAAATTTTTTTTTTCAAAAAAAAACATCTTTTTGTTTACAAAAACGAAAAGCTTAAAACCGGAAACTGAGGATTTTCGAAGCTGATACACCAAATGTAATAGTATTAAAATTAGTTTTTGAGACAAAAAATCAATAAGTCGTTAAAATGCTAGTCGTAGAATTTCATACTTTAAAAATTGTGTGACTAGCGGTTTTGTTTTCAAAAAATCCAAAAATAAGAGAGAAAAATTTTTTTCGCAAAAACATTTCTACGCACAAACAAACAAATTTTGGAAAAAAAAGAGATATTTCCAAGCAATCTTTGATTGTTCTGTCTTAACCTAGTTCACGCATTGTCTTAAGGCATAAAAGGAACAGAATTCAGTAATTAAATTTTGTGTGATGTCAGAACTGTTATTTTTTGCTGTAGTTACTAAGATAATTTTAAATTTGTCAAAAAAACAGGCCGCGATTCACAAACATTCAAACTCTCAAAAAAGAAGCTTTTTCGCCGTCGAAAAAAAAGTTACAACTTTTTGATATAATTATTTATGAAAGTAGAACAGCAAATTACCAAGCGCAAAATTAAGGGCAGTTTACCTGTGAGATTCTTGCCACTGAAAAGCTATAGTAATTGCCCGGGTTGACCTCCACAGAAAAAAATGCTTATCATACAATTCCATACAAAAAAAATGTTTATCATACAATTTCAATCATGGTTTCTATGAAAAAAATGTTTATCATAGGATTTCCTCTTATGAAAAATGTATGATAAGCGTTTTTTTCTTTGATTTTTTTTCAGGAAAACCTCCAAAAAAATTCTTTTTGTAATTTTAAATGAGCTTGATTTGTTTTTTGATTAAGTTAGATCAAGTTGGCACATTTGTTTTTTCATTTTTCCTGACAAAAAATGTTTATCATACGATTTCCATTCTATGAAAATGGTATGATGATCATTTTTTGATAAAATTTTTTGATAAAAAAATTGCGGGCAAAATTTAATTTTTTGTGTGCATAACCTAATCCTGGGTGCAATAATTTCGTTTTTTTTTCTTTTCACTAAAACTATTTTTTAAAAAAACGCTGAACATTCCTATTTTTTTGTATAGCGTGTTTTTGTATGCCCTGATCAAGGTCTGATGATTTGACAATTCAAAAATTTGAAATAATCATTATTGAAAACTTTTGCCAAAATTTAAAAGTTTGTTAATTTTGTTATATCACTTGTGAAAGACAGCTCGAAGACAATTCAGGTCGATTTCTATGCATTGTGAAAGCAAAACCGCCCAACCTTTGGTGCTTTGAGTAACCGAGACCTTTGTCACTAAGGTTAGGTTACAAACAGAAGACAAAATGTTTCAGAAAATAAAATTAAAGCAAAAAAACAAATTTTTGGATTAAGGGAAAAACACCTATCATATAATTCCATTTACTGGAAAAAATGGCTATCATACAGTTCCATTCTATGGAAAAAAAGGTTATCATGTAATTTTCATACAATTTTTTTCTATGGAAATGAATGGAATCGTACGATAAGCGTGTTTTCCATAGTATGGAAATTTGTGCTCAGCGTTTTTTGTCAACCAGTGACTGTTTCATTTACGCGCTACCTTTTTCTGGCTTTTTTTGTATTCATTATTCAAAAACCAAATGTCAAAGAGGTCTTGGTTAAATTGGCGTTAGAAAAAAGAACATTTTTTGAATATGGCTAGCAGAGATTCTACAACCACTGATAAAATCGTAAACTTTTTCTAAGATCGAAAGATTTTTTTTTTACATTACAAACTAATTTTTACAATTTGTGAAATTTCAAAATACCATAACCTGACAAGCAGACAAAAAATAGCTCAGAAAAAAACTAGCAAAACGACAGGAGGTAATTTTAAACATAAATGTCTACAGTTGGCTTCAGGGTCGTTATCTGCGCACTCGAAGACGCAAGCTTTAGCTTACAAATCATTTCAATCTATTTTGCTTTCTACTTGATAGCAATAAGCTCAGGAAATTGGCTTCAGGTCACAATAACTGAAGATGAAATTTTACTATTAGTTAATTTGTGGAACCTAAAAAGATAGATAGGGCTCAGACATTCCAAAAACTTGTTACTTGGAGAAACGTATTTTCCCTCAGAAACTTATCATTTTGAAACTAAGAACCTAAACTCAGAAGATGTTGAAAAACTGTATATCAGTCAGCAACGCATTTGGGATTTTTTTTTTCAAAAATTTGCTTGCGCGTGGAAAATTTGGCCAGAATAGTCAGTTTATTGTGATTTGGGAGAGCTCAGAAAATCCATTTGGTCGATCTAAAAAAGAATTAGCTAAAATTTCAAATCACTTCTGAAAAATTACCCCCTCACCTTCTCAAAAAAATTCTTAACCAGCTCTGTTATCAGACAAAAAACATTGGCTTTTAGAGCAGCAGTTTAGTGTGAATAATTCTCGCTTGAATTCGTTGTTTTTGGCAAGATTAAGGAGTTTGGTTTTTAAATTGAAATTACTTAGAGATCAAATAACCCCTGCTCGACACAAACTTTTGAAAAATTAAGATTTTGTTCCGAGTATCTTTCGTGGATTATAGTCAACAATATTTCCAAATGGTTAAGTCCTCCTGCGGCATTCTGCTGGAGATTTTAAAGTTAGTTCTATGATATTTTGCAAAAA